CTATATCTCCCCTCCCCTCTCTCTTCCCTTCTCTCTTTCATCTCTCAATCATTCTCTTCTCTCTTCCCCTCCCTCTCTCTCTCTCTCTCTCTCTCTCAGTCTCTATATCTCCCCTCCCCTCTCTCTTCCCTTCTCTCTTTCATCTCTCAATCATTCTCTTCCCCCCCTCTCTCTCTCTCGTTCTCGCCTGTGAACCTCAATCTACTTCCCCGTGTTAACCACTCAGTCACACGCTGCGACGCTGATGACGCCTATCACACGTCACGTGATCACAGGAAGCCGACAATGATTGCCGCGAGGGGGCGCCACCCACGCACCACCGCAATATGTCCACCCAGTCTCCACCCATCCTCGTACTATGAAATATATAATAATTAATTAATTAATCAATCAATTAATAATTAAAAAAAATAAACGAAGACAAAAATAACGAAATGGAAAATTAAGAAAAAACTACTAAGAAGAACGAAATAAATAAAGAATAGACGACAAAAAAACAAAAAACCAACAAACAAATAAATAAATAAATAATAAACATCCACATGTTATCAGGAGTGTATCAAAAGTTTGATACACTCCTGATGTTATGAATGCAGACGAAATTTGAAAAAAACGTCTTGTTTTGCCAGCGAGTTCCGCTTCACTACGTTTTACTCCGGAAAAAAAACGTGAGCGTGTTATTTTTTCATCGGCGTCGTTGGAAACCACTTCGTTAGATTTGATTACAGACGTGACCACGTGACCTCGGTACTGATTCCATAATTACAGGAAAACCGCGGGAACACTGGTCGCCATCTTGGCGAGTCACGTGGACAAAGGGAAATATCGTCTGCTGTCGACGCCGCGCCAAAGTTGTCGGTGCCGTGAGAAAGATGAGGGGAAGGTGGACCGCGCACGCACGCACGCACGCACGCACGAACGCACACTCACATACACACACACACACGCACGACACACGCACACTCACGTACGCACGCACGCACGCACGCACGCACGCACGCACGCACGCACGCACACTCACATACACACACACAC